TACCGCTATAACCGCATTCAAAACAGAGCTTCGACTAATAAATGTAGTATCATCACCATACAACATACAAGCATCTTCACCTAGTACATTAGGTCGGTCATTGATATAAATGAAAAATAAAATAGGGCCCAATAATATGGCACGCCGTATTTAATACTACCGTGGTCAGAAAACTATGTGTCAGAAAAGAGTGATGTGAGAAACACAGTCAAAAGCCTTTGTTAAGTCAACAAAAGAGACACTGCAAAATTCCGATTTCTCGAAACAGTCCGCAATATTATCCAATAACTTCAATACTGCACTTGTAGCTGATCTACCGTGTAGAAAATCAAACTAAGTCATGCAAAACAAATGTTTACATTCAAAACACTACACTAATTGATTTAAGTAAGTGTTCGAAGATTTTTGACAATATGCTTATCGGTCTAAAATTCCCGGCAACGTTACAGTCACCTTTCTTGAAGATAGGTATGATACGAGCAGTTTTGAAAGCCGCCGGAAAAATAGATTCACGAACACAGTGGTTTAGTAACTTAGTTAGCGGAGCAATTAGCAAATTGCACACATGTCTAATCATTACGGCATTCAGACCAAAACAATCATAGCATTTGCTATTTTTTATTTTATCGATCACATCTCTCACCTCAACCAAGTCAATGGATCAATGTTAGTTTGTATTGAATTAGACAAGATAGCTGGAATTTCCAGAAAGTAATTATTAAATTGGTTAGCAGTTATGTTACTCGAGGTGGCATGTCGCTCGCCTTTTCTATGCTTATTCACAATGTTCCAGATAGCAGACTATGAAATGTTGTGATTTTTCTCTTTCCGTCGATTAGAGATTGTCTGTATTTTTTGTGACAGTCGTCTCTTAACCCTTTCGCGCCTGTTAGTACGTATAGGTCCCATTGAATTTTGAACATTTCTGGAGAGTCGATGGGTATACCGACCTACAATGAATCGACAGTGTTTTTCATTGCCATATCTGTCCCAGTAGTGCTGAAATGCAAAAATGGTTCTTTATCCTGCAGAATGGCTAAAAAATATCTAACACAGAAAGAGTTGGAAGAAGAATTCGACAATCTTTCCGAAGAAGATGTGGATCCATACCATTGTAGTGATGACTCGGATTCAGATTTTGAGCCTTCTGAAGAAGAAATTTCAGCCAAAGGACCAAAAAATAACAACGACGATCAAGGTTCATCAAAAGTTCATTCCTCTTTCGATTAGAGAGGTGCGTTAGAGCTCATGGTAGTAACATGGTGTATGCTAGTGATGAGCTACCATCATTTCATGACTATTGGTCCAATAAGAACAGCATGGGAAATAGATTAAGTGGACACTTAATCCTGTTCGATAGTTCAAACTTAACACGCAATTTACCAATAATAAAGACACAGACGCATTTCAATAAATACATAAAAAACGTTTAATAGAAATTTCAAGATGCTAATTTTCACGAGAGTTTTAAAATAAATTGACGAGATTCGAAGGTTCCTGAAGATGGTTTTGTAAATAAGCCGAAACCGGTAGAATTTATAACAGTGAATCCATTTTAATAAAAGTACAGACAGATAATAGTTATTTGTATTATAAGGAAAGAAAGCATACTTTTTTCTTTACGAATCGCGAATTTTCTAATCGAGGCGAAGCCGAGGTTGAAAGAAATAATGTTTACAACAAAAAATAAAAATGCGTGTTTCGTTATGAAATGATGAAAATGAACTGAAGCATGAACTGAAGTTTTAATCTAAATGTAAACAATAATAAATTTTCATGACAACGCCATGGTATAATAATTTAACAAATATTTAATTTAAAATCAGGTGGGTTCTGTGACGGTAACGCTACAGATACTCCCCTGCGCAAAATATTCAACCGGTGGAAAGGAATAAATAAAAATGCAACATGGAATTAATCGAGTATTATTCTGCAGGGAAACTTTTAATGATTTCTTTGATGAAGAATGTTTCGATAAATTATTAATGCTGTTATTTAAAATGAACGCTGGTTTTAAACGATCACTGTTAACAATGTATTCTTGATTGTTTCTAAAAATAACAAAATTATTTGAATATTTTTTAACAACTTTAAAAGGTCGTTCATATCTTGGTGATATGAAGGTTTTATGCCCTCAAGTCAAAGGAAAACAATGTCTGAATCACGCAGTTGTTTATGTACGAAAGGTTTTTCAGTGGAATGTAAAGAGGTTGACGCTGGCTTCAAATTGGAAAATGTTTGTTGTAGGCTGATCAGTAAAGGGTTAACATTTCTTGAGTTGTGAGAATTTACGAAAAATTCACCTGGTAAACGTAACGGTTGACCGTAAACCAGTTCTGCTGAAGAACAACCTAAATCGTCTTTCAAGGAAGACCTTAGACCTAATAATATTATAGGAAGATCTTGTTTACACCTATTAGTTTTACCTTTAGCAATAATGGCAGTTTTCAAAGTTTTGTGAAATTTCTCTCAGATGCCATTACTTTGAGGATGGTAACAGGAAGTGTGAATTTGTTTTGAGCCAAATAATCGATTAAATTCTGCAAATAGTTGTGATTCAAATTGTCTGCCCTGATTGTGCGTAATCGTGTGGTATACCAAACCTTGAAAAGTAATGCGTCAACAAAGCAATAGCAACAGTAGAACTTGACGTATTTTTGAGTGGATAATCTTCTGGCCACCTTGTAAAACGGGCAATGACTGTAAGAACAAAAGAATAACCAAGCGAAGGTGTAAGGGGGCCTTGTCCATTTACGCCTATATCCACAAGATCAATGTGGATATCTTCAAAACGTCCAGATGGAATATCAAATTTATTGAGTGGAAATTTTGTATGTTTATGAATTTTTGATTGTTGACATTTAATGCAACATTTTGTCCACGTATAAATATCTTTGTTCATTTTTGGCCAATAAAATCGAGAGTTAATTAAATTTTGTGTTGTTTTAATACCGGAATGTGAATAATTATGAAAATTTTCGAAAATTGCAAAACGGTATTCAACAGGTATATAAATACGTGGTGTTGATGAAGAAATTTCACACCATAACGTTTGTTTTGATAGTGATATTTCTTTTTGTTCTAAAATGAACTTTATAGGAGAATGTAGTTGTCTATTTAAAAGAAAAGATAATTGTGAATCTTTTTCTTGCGCAGTTTTAACTTCTAAAAGATTAGGATATGAAATTTCAAGTGAGTCAATATCTATGCGCGACAAGGTATCTGCCACTATATTGGAGTCTCCCTTGATAAATTTGATATCCGAAGAAAATTGAGCGATGAAGTCTAAGTAACGACTTTGACGTGGACTTTTTTCTGCTTTTGGATATAACGAGGCTATTTTTGGTTTGTGGTCTGTATAGATAATAAATTGATTGCCTTCTAAAAAATGTCTGCAAAATTTAATGGACGAATAAATTGCCAGCAATTCTCGATCAAAAGTCGAGTATTTTACTTGACAAGGCGATAGTTTTTTTGAAAAATAAGCGATGGGTTGTGAAAAATTATTAATTTTTTGGGATAATACTGCTCCAATCGTATTGGACGCGTCAGTAGATAAAGATAATTGACCAGTTTTACAAGGATGAGCCAGAATTGTTGAATTTGCTAATTGAGTTTTAGAGTGTTCAAAACTTTGATTACACTCTTCTGACCAATTTTCAATAACTTTGCTTTTATTTTTATAAAGTAAATTCGAAAGATGATATAAAGGTGCAAGTATATTTGAAAAATTTGGAACGAATCTATGATAAAAGTTTATCATACCCAAAAATCTTTGTAACTGTTTAAGTGTTTTTGGTCTTGGAAATTCTTTAGTAATTTTAATTCTTGAGGAGAAATGTGATGGCTCAAAAAATTTATGGATTGCACAGCAAAAATGCATTTAGAAGGTTGAATTTAAATTCCAAAATCATTTAACCTATTAAAACGTATATCTAAATGAGATATATGTTCGTATTCATTTTTACTTGCAATTAGAATATCATCTAAGTAAATAAAGATAAAGTTTAAACCTGAAGTAACTTCGTTGATAAAACGTTGGAATGTTTGAGCAGCATTTCTCAAACCGAAAGGCATTCGAGTAAACTCAAATAAATCAAAAGGGGTGGTTATCGCAGTTTTATAAACGTCTTCCGCGACAATTGGTATTTGGTGGTACAAGATCTATCATAGAAAAGATAGATAGATGGGATGAGACTACAGTAGGTGTCTTTGCAAAAAAACTCTGCTCTACTCTGACCAGAAGAAATCAACTCAGTTTCTGGGAAAATGAAAAAATTACTTGAGGCTCTATGTATGTTCTACTTAAAGCTGTTGAACACACCGCTAACGTAATGAAATGGAAGACAAGACGGTAAATCATATTGTGTGTGGCTGTCCCAACCTCGCGTACTAAAGGGAATCCATTTTTGACGTATTCTGGAAAATTTCGGACATAAAGAACATACTCTTCTGTTCTATATTAACGTTCATTAAAAACTTTGGGCTGGTTTTCTAACTCCTGAATTAACTGTAAATTGTGGGGATGTACAAAGATGCCACTGGGGCATAAGTGGTGTGAAGGAATTCACCCCCACATGAAACTACATTCATACTACTAGCTCCGGCATTATTTCATTTCCTCTCGATGTTACACCCAAAATAATTAAATTAATTGGTAATTATCATATTAATAATGAATTATCACATTTTACGCAAGCAATAATTAAAAATATTAAAAGAACTTTATAAACAATAAATTAAATGTATTTATTTAAATAAATTAATTTTGTTACATCTCATATAGGTTGTACTCTCTCTACTAGATGTCACTAAATTAAAATTATTAACTTCACCGTAATACAATCACATTTTAACAAGAAATTTAATTTAATATTAATTAAAAACAATCTAAACAATACTTTTTATATTATAAAAAATATTAAAAACTCTAAACTAGAAATTTACGAACGTTAAAGAATTCTATATTACCAACATTAACGTATATTGACATGCGCGTGACTTTTGAAAAAGTGAGGTTAGAAAACGTTGACAGAAATTCTCCCGCTTAGTTTTGTACATTTGCGTAAGGAATTCTGTATAAACGAGTTTTGACGAGGGTAAGTTTCTGTTTTTATTCACAATATAAAGCCTAATTAAATATTTATATCGTTCTGTTTAATTTAGTAAAAGAAATGCCTAAAGCCAATAATGTTCCTAATAAAAGAAGAGCCAAAGATGATCCCGTTGTTTCACGCAGATTAAAAAAAGGAAAATGTAAATTAAATTCCTGTAATAATTTTAAATTATAATATTTAACTTTTAATTTATTAATAGTTACATTAAATGATGTTCCAATTGTAAAAGAAAATAAAGAAGGTGTTGTTCTTGTTACCGGAGCTGGAGATGTTGGACAATTAGGTTTAGGAAGTGATGTTTTAGAAAAGACTAGGTTTGGTTTAGTTAAAATTGATGACGAAATAATTGATGTTTATGCTGGTGGGATGCATACTGTGTGTTTAACAAAGGATGGAAAAGTAAAACAAAATTAAGATGAAGTAAAAATTTTTATAATCACTTTTCAATATTCTTATAGGTAATTACATTTGGTTGTAATGATGAAGGAGCTTTGGGAAGACCCACAGATAAAGCTGATTCGGAATTTGAACCAGGAGTTGTAGATTTGCCAGGAAAAGTGAAACAAATTACTGCTGGTGATTCACACACAGCAGCATTATTAGAAGATGGAAAAGTTTATGCTTGGGGAACTTTCAGGGTTAATTTTAATAATTTTATTTTATTTTAATATTTCAAAAATGTATTTTGATTAGGATTCTCATGGTAGTATGGGTTTAACGCCAACAGGAAATGAGAAACTGCCATATTTAATAATGTCAGAACATGTAATAATAAAAATTGCTTCGGGTTCTGATCACATAGTATTTTTAACAAACCATGGTGAAGTATTTACTTGTGGTTGTGCTGAACAAGGCCAATTAGGTAGATTACCTGAAAGAAGTTCAGGAAGAAATGCTAGAAGTGGCATTGGTAAAGATCAAATAGGTACATGTTGTGTAATGTTTAAAAAAAAAACTAAATTGATTTATATTAAAAGATATTTATAAACATTTTTTTTTAGCAAAACTTCTAGTACCACACATCATAAACCTAAAACCTCATTTAAAATTACATTTTGAAGATATTTGGGCGGGACATTATGCAACTTTTGCAAAAGTTGCGGATAAAAATGACGTATATTCATTTGGATTAAATAATTATCACCAAATAGGTAAATTTAATACATATTTCTTTATTTAAACCCGAATTGATTTATTTATTTTAATGCTTAGGTGCTCAACCAAATGTACAATATAATCCAACAAAATCGGAAGTTTTCTCTAAGTATAAATGGCTATCAATTTGTTGCGGGCAACACCACACTATAGCATTAGACGTTGATGGACAAGTATATACAATTGGAAGGAAAGAATATGGTAGATTAGGTTTAGGTGAAAATTGTGAGGAATCAATAGAATTAGTTAAAATCCCATCTATTAAAGATAAAGTGATTTGTATTGGAACGGGATCAGCAACATCTTTTGCAGTTACAGAAAAAGGTAAATATAATTTAATTGTTTTAATTTTAATTAATATTCTTTTTGAAAAATAGGAGATTTGTATGGTTGGGGAATGGGAAATAATGGACAATTAGGGACTGGGAAAGAGGATGACAGTTTTGCACCAATATTAATAGAGGGCAAACAATTAGTTGATAAAAAAGTGTACAGGGTGAATGGTGGAGGACAACATACTGTAATATTAGCATTATCTAATATAAATAATAACAAAACAGAATGACAGAGTATATGTGGTTTTGTTTGTACTTTTTTTTGTTTCTATTTTGTCATTTATATTAAATATATGTCTTTTTTGATTACCCTTAATAGACTGAAATAATTTTATACTTTATTGATATAAATTCTTCTTTAATCATACATTGTGTACTAAGAAAAACGAAAAAAATTTAAAGTACCATAATTTTAATTTAAGTTTAGATATATCTCGCATTTATTGTTGCAATGTGTTCTCTCCTTTTTTGTAATAATCATAGTGTAGCTAACGTTTTTTATAATATTAATTCATTATTAAATACACGGAAAGGTATAAAAATAATCTGATTTAATTCTTAATATACACCCAATTTTCCCCAAGATGAATTACATCGATCTGGCAATGTGGCTTGCTAAACTTCTCTCCAGATGTGTTATTTTAATCTTTGTTATATTCCAGACATAAACATAGTGGTGTTTATAAACAAGCACTTTCATGAGTTCATACTTTTTTTTAACAATTTAAACAGCTTTAAAGAGATAATTAGGTTAACGTTATTGTTTATCGAGTCTGATTAATCAATTATGGAGGGTAAGTAACTTTTATAACTCTGTTAATAGCAATAATTAATGCTGTGTATATTAATTGATGAAATTATATTGTTGTATTTAATTATAATCAATCTTAGGGAGTCATTCAACGGATGAATCTGTATGCACATCAGTATTGATCATAAATTACACAGCCTACAATAAAAAAAAATTTTTTTGTTGCACCCATATCTTTGCAAATTTTTATGTTTTCAAGTGCCCAGATTACGAATATATTCATGAAAGTATTGAAACTGTGCTCTTGTTTTTTATGATTTTTACATATCTTATATTTTGAACAATTATCGGCTTGTTAGTAATAAAATTTATTTTCCCCAGTCATGATTAGGCTTCTGCGCAGATTTTTCGCGCATGCAAACATCACGTGATCCCCACTCTCATAACCCTTGCTCTGCAGAACAGCTGAGATCTCAGTTATTTGACAATATTGAAGTACTTACACGTGAATCTGGATATGTTGTGTGTCCATTCTAATATATTTGTCTTGTCTTTTAAAACGAGTTCGTCACGAAGAAAGTGTAAATATAGTAGTGATTTATTTTGTTATATTTGCAGTGGTGATATAACAAAAAAGATATATCACAAACTTTGTCGAGGAGACTTATGTTGAATATATCGGTTTTGAAATGGACAAACTAGATAAATCATGGGTTCCTCATAAAGTTTGTAAGTGTGGAGTCTTTACGGTTGTGAAAAAAAGAAGAACGTTCTGGATTAGACTTTGGTATTCCTATGGTCTGGATGGAGCCTAAGAATCATTTCGATGATTGTTACTTTTGCGTAGTAGATGCTAAAGGTTTTAATCGAAATCAAACGTGGAGATATCCAAACTTACAGTCTACAAAATGTCCTGTTCTACACAGTGAAAATCTCCCTCGGGTTATTTACGTTTCAAAAATAATTCGCATGCCCTCAGAAACAATGATGTTGCCAAATTCACAGAAATCGGGACAGTCTACCAATGGGAGGATGAAACATCTACGCCGCAGTTATTTTCTCAAAATGAACTGTGATTTAATACGTGATCTCAATTTATCAAAACAAGGACTGTTAGTCTCAAGATTGAAAGAAAAAAAATTATTGTCAATTCTCCAACAGTAACAATTACAACATACAGAACGCGAGAAAGTGAGTTATTACAATTTTTTTGGGGAAAGTGAAGGACTGGTGTACTGTAATGATATCGCGAAGTTGCTTCTAGACATGGGTTGAATAGAATTCAAACCTATTGAGTGTCGCCTATTTATTGACAGTTGTAAAAGAAGTTTAAAATGCGTCTTACTGCACAACGGAAATAAATTTGCATCAATTCCAATGAAAATGTAAAAATAGTTTTAGAAATCTGATCTGTCTGGATTTGAAAATGGTTAATTTTTTACTTGGTCAACAAAGTGGATACACGAAATACCCTTGCTTTATTTGCAGCGATGGGCGATGGGTAAATACCCAACGGGTAGGTAAATAAAATTTGGGTGTATACTTGGTACATACCCACAGGATGTAGGAGTAATCTTTAGACAAATTTCGAACATTAGACTGTATTATTTACAAAGTTTGTGAACATATGTCAAATGTTGAAGTAAATTGAAGAGAAAATCTTTCCGGAAGTGACATGAACTTGAATGAAAACGCTGTTGCCAATATTTTGAAATCATTTGAAGAGAGGAAAGAGCGTGCTTTGAAGCCACTCCATTTTGCAGTTGCATTACTAGATTCATTAAATCAAAGTTCAAATCTTACTTAAGAACAACAAATTGACACGATGGAATTCATATATAAAGTAATCGCAGATATGAACGTTGATTTCCTTGAAAATGTTATGACGGATTTAGCAAATTACCGCTCAAAGCACAAATTATGGCCCAAACGCTTCCTCTGGAGTTGTATCCATTCTAAATCTTCAGCTTCTTGGTGGAGAGGACTGTGTGGTACAACGTAGTTATATAAAGTTGCTATAAGAATTTTAATTGGACCAGTTTCACCGCCGGAAACTGAAAGATTATTTAAAACTTTTTCGTTCACCGAAAGAGCTGGAAAGATTACGTACATAGCTCGCATTTGGAAAATCAAATTCGAATGCAGTAAGTCGGAACAACAACCAAAACCAAGTACTTCATATTTTGCTGATTCTGCGCAACTTTCTGATGATGAAGATGATAGTGTTGATGTAGAAATTCAAAGTTCGGCTTCTGAAAGTGATTCAGACACAGACTCATCACAAAGTGCAAACATCCACATAGACATAAGTTAAGTCGACAAATGAACCTGAATATATAGTTTTTAGTTTTAAACATAGTTTGAGTTAAATAAGAATATTTTGTTTTCTTTATGATAAACTAAATTATTAACGTTTATCATTTCGTTGTTTTTGTTTGGGTTTATTTTTAAACAGTCTAATTTAACAACAATTTGTATCTTAAGTTGATAAAGTAAAAATAGTTAAGTATATACCGGGTACATGGTATTTACCGAAATTCCAATAAACCCCGTATTTACCCATTAGTACCGGGTACAAACGTTGGGTATATACCCAAATTTTAATATACCGAGTACTTGCCCATTACTGTTTATTTGTATGTGGGACAGTAGAGCAAAGCAACTTCATTGGGAACAAAATGTTTGGCCTGTAAGAAATTCTTTAACTGTCGGTAAAGCCAATGTAATAAGGGAGCCGGTGGCACCATTACATATTAAGTTAGGAATGATAAAGCAATTTGTAAAAGCGTTGGACAAGGAAGGAGATTGTTTTAATTACATTTGTAGAAAATTTCCGAAGCTTAGTATGGAAAAGTTGAAACGTGGAATATTTGATGGTCTTCAAAGCCGGCAATTGATGAAAGACACAGATTTTATTAAAGTTATGACTATCCCGGAAAGTAAAGCTTGGAAAAGTTTAGTATTGGTAGTCGAAAATTTCCTAGGTAACCATAAAGTACCAAATTATGAAGAAATTGTACAAAATATGCTGACAAACTTTCAGACTCTAGGAGCAAATATTAGTATCAAGTTACACTAAATATATCCAAAATCAATCTTATATCTAGAGCAACAAAACCACTGTAGACCAGTACTATCTAAGCACATAGAGAGTAGCAAGGTTTAGGTTGGTTTTAGTCTAGGTTTTTCATAATCATGAATCAAACATTTAACAATATTTATTGTGAACTTACGTCGTGCTGTTTTAATAATACGTCACTTCCTACAATATAATACCACGCTCATCAACGATAAAACTGAGATCGCTTGCGTCCCAGGCGATATATTTCGAGACCTGTTACACTCATTTATCAAATACAGCGCAGGAAATCACAACAGACAGTATCCGCGAACGAAATATTGTTAACTTTGTCAAGGTATGCTGACTGAGATGAATGGGATATGTCTGGTAAATGAGTGAACACGAAATAGCAAAAAAATAGTAATACAAATACCCCAAGGATAGCGAAAAAGGGGAAGGTCAAAACTACACTATATGGACGATGTAAAAAATGACCTAAGAATCTTAATGGCCAGAGGATGGACACACACAGGTCTTGATAGGGAAGGACTACACTTATATTTCGAAGATATTAAGTATTAGATATATTTGGCTGTTGGATATCATGATCAAAACAAATAAAAATTTCACGGTTTCGATATACAGATGTCGCTTGCGGCCGAGGCTATATATTTGAAGACCTGCTACAGTCATTATTGCATCATGAAGATATCATGATATTAAATATTGCATAAACTTAGCTGCTATATATCACGGTTATCAAAGATAAAACCTCATAGTTTCGAGATGTATTAGTAGAATAGTAATGCATTAAAGTGTTAGCTCTTAATGCTTGAGTTAGCTTATGTGCTGATATTGCACAGAATATCGTTTTTATTTTTATACTTTTCATGGTACAGGATTACTAATGGTTATGTTTCTATTTTGCTTCGGCAGACATGGAGGTTGTAAAAATTGATAAAGTGAATAAAGACTACTTTTTCCAATGCTATTGTCATAATAAACACTGAAACATACCTTTTTGTCAATAGTGAACCAAGTTGAGGTTTAAATTTTTATTCAGTAGATGAAAATGTTTTCTCTTCCAATAGAAAATAGATACCGATTTGTTTTCAATATAGTAGTGAACAATATCCGTTTCCTTTCTGTCTTGTGCACAAGTCAGTACTGTGATTTATTTAACATTTTATCAATTTAAAAGACTACTCTTAGGCAAATATCCGTCAGAGTTCGCTTTGGAAAATATTTTTGCATCACTTCAGAAATTAGCGGTTATTCCATAGAGGATATTGTCTTGCAGGGAATAGTACAGTATTTAAAGGCAATGGCATCACGTTCAATAAATAGTAATGGCTTATCTAAAACCAACGACTTACACTATTTTATTGAAGGTGATGTAGATAATGTGGAAGTTTCATTTTTTACAAGAATATTGCAAATTACTTGAGGACGTTTCTACAGATCCATAAATAAAAAGGAGGCAACGCGTGATTCTCAACCTATGCTTAAACTTATTTGTAGTAAAAGATTTTCTGTTTCATAGATATCCGTGACATTTACATTCAAATCAAGAATATAATCCGATAAATGTTATCGGATGTTATCGTTTATGTACCATATTTATGATGTATGTGATTTCGTCTGTTAGGCTGTTGTAAATCTTTGCATTTCTTTTTATCTTGAGCTAGCATTCGCGAATCATTCCATGTTGTTTGCCTCTCTGTCAA